ATCAGATTAGTAGCCAACTTTCAGTTTAACACTTTTACTAATGAAAATGTATAAACAAAATGGTTTTCTGATCAAAAAGGCAATTCTCTGAAAAATACCAGTAAAACAGGTAAATGGAAAGAAAACATCTGTGCAGGAGATGTTTCGGATGGATGGTAACAAAAACACTTCTCCGATTGTTTTCAGATTCTCAGATGAATTCTAAAACTATGTTTTGTTTGACTTGATTTTGCTCATTGTTTAACTAAGATAAGCTGTCTATCTGTCAGGGTATGGAGAAGAGAGGACCTAATGTGGGAAACAGGCAGTTTCAAGCTGTTTCTAGGAAGGAGAAAAAACATAAAGGAAAAAGGCCACAAACCAAAAAATGAATCCAAACACACACATAGGAATTCACAAATGTCTTGACAAAGGGAAGAAGATATAAAATATGAAACTGAAATAGTAAACAAGAATGAACTAACATGGGGGGAGGCATAACAGGACAACAGATAAGCCCAGTGACAGAGTAAAGACAGAAAGCAAAAACAGGCAGAAGTGAAAGTCCCTGTATAAACAGATCGTGTTGAACGGGAACCAAACCAGAGAATCGCAGTCATTCCCAAGAAAACCACAAAGTTAAAACTGGAATCAATGACATGAAAAGAAATATAACTCACTGTTAAAATAACCAAGAAATATGGAGCCTCGCAGGGGACATGGGAGAAAAAAAATTAAGACGGACTTTTGCGAGATCTCGCAAAAGTCCGTCTTAATTTTTTTTTCTCCCATGTCCCCTGCGGGGCTCCGTAAAGAAATCAACAAGTTTGACAAACACAAAAAATCTAAACACTAATGACTATAACGGTATCTCATGTAGCAACATGATCTCACAGCAGTTTTGGGAAAACTCAGCTATAAGCTATTGACTGTTTTTAGGCTATTTTCTTTCTGACACACTGTTACACTATATATTAAACATTAATGAGTGTGAATTCTTTAAAGCACTGGTAGAAATCTGCGGTTTGTTAAGCATTTGTATCTGCTGTCCTCCACAGACTGATGACACACTTCCTGAGTCACATTATCTCTTGGGTTTAAAAAGGTCAGATGACGCCTCCTCTGATCTCGGCCATCTTGGCTGCTACGTGAACAACTGAGCCATTGCGCTTTTTGGTTGTCCTGCAGACCAGCTTTTTTTAACCC